GTTAAATATGGGCATAGTGGGAATATACCACCGCGGGATGATATTTTATTGAATGTGCGTGCAAGGTGGGAATATATTGAATGTGGGCCTGATGAGAATCTATTGAAATTGTGTCACCTCTGTACGCTTTCGTAAACATAAAATGTAAAAACATACTCTACACTGTTTTACCACTAACCAAACGCCTCGACACGTGTTTCGCTAACTATGTTAGCATCTTCAGGAGAAGATTAAAACTAAATATCCTATTCTAGTGTGCTGCTTATATACTAGGTATATGGTCACCCAACCGTGAAAAATGTTAATCTTAATATTTATAGTACTAGAGTATATAGATGGCTATATGGAATAGGTCCATTATCCTTATTCATTACTCTATGACTATTCTTGAATATCTCTAAGCTTTCATATGCGTCTAAGTTTCTAATATTATTAACTTTTGTAGTGTTCAGTACAGTTCAGTGTTATAGGCCGTATAGCCTGCCTGCGAATAAGTTGAGAAGAAGAGAGACGTGACAAATGACATGGAGAAGACAGTTGACAGTTGGCGTTGGCGGGAAAATTAGAGTTAGGAAGAGAGGTTAGGGAGTGCCCGCGCCATTCTCTTTTTACGATTTATTATGTATGTTCTTTTATGAAAACTAAGTAATTAATAATTTTATGAATCAACCAAGATATTGCCCTACACTTTCATAACTAATTTGAGGTTAGTAAAATGTGTGTTATGATTGTGATTGAACATATGTTCGGCTACACATGATTTATCCAACCTACCATTTTTTAAATGTGCTATGTGTTCTTTGAACCTTGTTTTCAACCTTCTCCTGAAGATGCTAACATAGTTAGCGAAACACGTTCCGAGGTTCCAGTCTTCGATATAATTATGTAAAAACATAATAAAAAAAATTCAGCTTGTCCCTCTCAGAGCTTTCGTAGGTATCTCTGACTGACAAGTGACAATCGCCGACACCTATTTCATAGACAGTTCTCTCGAGATGAATGGAGCAAACGGGCCATCAAGTGGCTCGCGACCTTTGGAAGAATCCATGACCTTGACCCTGACCTTGCGCGGTCGTGCGAACTACCCGGTCCGTCCTCAGGTGCGCTTTGAATTCTTCGGCTCACCAGGTGATATTTTATGGTTGTTCGCGATCACGTAATAATCATTAACATCCTGGAAGTCGTGAAGTGATAATTAACGAAAGATGTAATGCGGTCTTTGAGAAATAGCCGATGGGCCATTTGAACTACTCAGTTGGAATGCCGGAAGTTACTTTCTGAACCTCGGTCCGAACGCTTAGGAGTCGATGGTTGTACCGAATGATTGATGTTGATTGTACACTCTGGTATCCTCCAGTTATTCTAGAATTGAAGAACAAAGTATATAATATGTCCTCATTATTTTTAAAAGTTCAATCACACATCCCATTGAATAAAAATCGCCCTCCCACTGAACATATTTTAGTATCAAAACATCTCAATATTACGGGAATCTGGAGCCTTTTCACTTACTGGTACTGGTACTGGTGGGGGACGTTTCCACGTCAGCAACTAGTCCTCAATGGGACCTTTTTGCAAACCCCAAGTGTTTTCAATGACTGATGTGGTTCGCTCAAGAGAGCTGGCTAACATCCTTTTCAGGCACCGCCCATCAGCTCTCTTTTCAGAGTTTTTCAGCTGTATTTTGTAGGCTAGTAATGTACTCACTACCATATGCGCAGTGGCAGGCCTGCTAACTATCATCGTTAACCCCCGAGACCGAGGTCTACTTAAGCAGCTGGCCCGCTCTCACGCTCAGCTGGTAGTTTTTTCCACACCCACCTACATACACCGTCCTACATCTTTTCTGATGCTCACAACCACATCATCATATCTTTCTGCGTGTTCTGTGTAGGCTTTGTTACTAACTCCATGCGCCACTTTAGGAGCAGCACTGTTAATTGGAACGCAACAGCGAATCGTGCAGGACTATCCCCAGCCGATGCTCCGAAACTTTACAATATTTAATTCGTAAATAAAATATTGAAAAAAGTTCCTTGCCCGTGCTGGAAATCGAACCCACGACCTTGCAGTCGTGGGACGGACGCTCTTCCACTGCGCCAATCCCGGCTTTTCACTTAAGTCTCTCTGAAGTTTCAGAATCGTTCCAAAGGATGTGAATGTCCTACCTCAGTGAAGTTTCATGGAACGTTTCAACAACATCGTCCCAGACACGTTCCAACAAAACTGTCTTGGATGCGTATCAAAAAAACTTTCTTCGACACGTTTCATAATAGTTTCCAATTTTGTATAGTTTCATCAACACTTCGAAGAAAGTGTATATGGTGTTGAAATAAAGATGCATAGACAGTAAAAACAGACAAATTTATTAGGTACTACTTATTCTCATTTTACAAACAGTAGGCAATCACCCATCACACAGATGTGAGAAATACGAATGGCAAATAGTATTATCAAGTCCACACTAGCACAGCATATCCTAAAGAACACTTTCAACTAATATCTCCAGAACACAATATACTGTCCCCAAAACGGTGAAAGAATGCACAGCCAACCAATATAATGCCATTGCCAAAAGAGTCCTACCTTTTATGCAAACAGCTTCTCATGATGATAATCCGTGCGGTTCACCAATATCATTCACATATCTTTCGGATGTGGAATCAATCTTAATGAAATACTTTGTGAATCCTGATGACCCTTTTTGCCCAGCTGTGTACGTTGAATCACAAATCAACGATCAGATTTGACTACCAATTACATTCAGAAATCAGAAACAGTGACTAGGTTTTTCGCAAACTCGAAATAGGACTGTTGCATTAGTTGGCGATTGAGTGTTGTTGAGCTAATGCTCATCTCACGCTGTCTAAGCTATCATTGACTCTCGTCTCGTTTCAGTCGTCTTCCTCTGACCTTGTACTGTCTTGTACCCATATTTCTGCATTTACACAAGCGTGTCCCATCCATCACAACTCTCCTTAGCAACAAGAAATTCGATATACGAAATACATATCACTCGGGCTCATCTTAATTTTGAGGCGTGATACTGAAGTTTATGCAGAAACAATATTGAAAATTAAATAAGCGCTGAAGTAAATAAAATATGAATAGGTATATGAGTACAACTTAACATCGATGGCATGGTATTGTAGCAGCAGCTGTTTATTCATTAAGAATTTTCCATAGTGATAGACATAATGTAGAATAGGTGTAGGCAACACAACAAAAAACATAAAACATCAGTAGAAGCAGCATTAGAACATGAATTCTCACATGGGTGCATTTTTCTTGAAACGTTTCATTTTGGTTTCGTTTCAATCCACAATAAGGTAGAATTGAAATGTTCCTGGAAAGTTTCATGTTTCGTGGGCTGTTTATAACACATAATGGAATGATCGGTAATAATAAAAAATGAATAGATGAACGAATATGTAAGTTGCTTAAATTTATACGTCCATCCTGAAATTTTTACCATACTATAGTTGGCATCTTTAACTTTGAAATCTGACGTTTCAACTTCCAGAAACTTTTTTTTAATATTCGAACATCTTTTTGATAACTTCATTATAATTAGTGACGACCTTGCTTTATAAGTGGGAATGGAAGATTATATATTTGACCAATAACGAAACAGCATAAAAACTGATGTCACCATTTATTAAAATAAATTTAGTTCCCTAATGACAAACTGGCCCATTGTCTCTAATCTGGATTCATGGCCACTCTGGTATGGAAGATAATGAATAGCATCAGAACCTGTCATTGGCATTCAAGTTTGGCCAACTGAATATACATATACTGAGAGCAAGACGAGTTCCAGACTCCTGGCAAAATCTACCAGGATTGGCTCATTTTCCAAGGCAAGGTCTGAAGCATCATAATACCAAGACAATAACTGTCTGATGATCCGGAGTACAGTTTCTGTCTAGAAGATGATGAAACAGCAGAGCATAAAGGTACTTTGTGCCTGATGCCTTGCCGCAGGTAAACTCAATTTCAGAATCGGTGAGATGAATTTCAGAAAAAGTCCATTCAATTTCAGAAATGGTAAGTTGTATTTCAGAATTGGTAGGTTCAATATCATAAAAAAAAATCCTTATATTTGTTCGAAATGTTTTCAATTGCATGTGAGATTAACAAAAATTTAAAATATTCAACTTTTCAAAAACAATTCAATCCACAGATGCCTTCCATCTGAATCGCTGGAAGATAGTGGCGTTGTACATGATTATAAGAATGCAAACACATTTGAGGTGTTATCATTTTCATTGAATGATCTGCACATTCTTCAAGACATCGCAGTCTGAATTCTATCTGGTTGAGCAATCTGTTCGGATCCCCAGCTATGACCCTTTGGTGATGCTCTTGCAAGAAGCTCTTCACTTCTGACTTGAAGGCACCCCATATATGTTCAATCTGATTCAACATAGGGCTCTCAAACACCATTCCATCCACTGTTAACAATCTTCTCTTTTGCAATTAAAAACATTTCAAACATATAAAAGGATTCATCTTCTGAAATTGAACCTACCAATAATTCTAAAATACAACTTACCATTTCTGAAATTGAATGGACTTTTTCTGAAATTCATCTCACCGATTCTGAAATTGACTTTATCATTTCTGAAATCGAACTAACCAATTCTGAAATCGAGATTACTTTTTCCGAAATATAACTCACCGATTCCGAAATTGAGGTTGAAAAGGTATAGATGGAAAAGCTTATTAGTAGGCGAGAGGCATTGTCGATCTAAATGAAAACCTAGTAGGCGACCTAGTGCGAGGAGGTATAATATTATAGCTCTTGCCTACTAACTACCTAACTAAGTTGTCATCTAGAACGACAATGTGAGAGGTATTGAGAAGCTGCATCTACTTGGTGAAATATAAATTGGTCGAGGGTCCAATAGACTTACTCACTTTGAATATAACCTACAGTTGAATTAGTGTCTTTTGCTGCACTTTACACGTAGTTTCCATTCTAAGTCAAATAATACCAAGCAACTTGTTAAAATCAAACTTTATTGGATAACATCAACAACAATTCAATCGTACAACTTGGCTAGTATCTCGCTCTCCCTATAAAGGAAATACACCTCATTCCCCTCGAGCTCCACCTTGGTGCCACCATAGTCGGCTAGCAACACCTCGTCCCCTGCTCTCACCGACATGGGGATGTGCTGGCCTTGCTCCGTTCTTCCTCCGGGTCCTACTGCTACCACAGTGCCCTTCTGGAGCTTCGCCTTCGTGTTGTCTGGCAAGACGATGCCGCCCTTGGTCTCGGTGGCGGGTTCAGATTTCTTGATCAGCACTCTGTTCAGCAGAGGGATGACGCGTTTGAATTTCGGGACTGCCTTGGTGGCTGCGGACATTCTCAGAATGGTTTGCCGAGCGAACGTGGATGGATTTCTGGGTGACTGTCAAAGGTGCGACGTTGATGTTTGGCAAGACAGTTACCATGGAAACTGTAGGAGCACGGAGGAGTTATCATACGGAATGATTAAGAAGGAAAATGTACAAAAGCCATTCCAAAAATCGATAGTGTTTTGTTTTGAGACTTTATCTTTATCCAGGACCTTATTTCGCGAAAAGTTGGAAGAGTTTCAACCCAGAAAGTCCTCTTCCTGGTGACTGATATTATATTTTCACACAAATTTTCTCTTCCGGTTATGGAATAATGTAAAAATGTCTTGCTCAAAATTGGTAAACATCACATAACGTAGTACCTAAATATCTGCGTGTGAAGGTCTCTTTTAACAGTGGATTAATGTCGACTGATGAATGAAATGTTGGAGGTGAGTAACCAAGATATAGATGGTAATATAGAAAAGATGTGTTCATGATGGGAGACTATCCTCATCCTAATTTGTGACCTATTGTACAGAATGCTGTTGAAGTTTGTAAATTAATTCAAAGAAGTGATAGAGACTCGCAAAATAAGTATTTTTTTTCTCAATTAACAGGTGCAGGACGTTTAAGTTCGATGGAATGATGAATTCATATTTCTTATCTAAGGAAATACAGAAATACAGATTCTTTTCAAATTTGGCACACTGTATTTCTATGTAAACCCGCCTTTTTAGTCAAAAAATCAAATCCTGATGAATGAAAACATGATTCCAATGAATAGACTTTCAACATATTCTAGAACTTATAAGGTGTTTTACACACCTCAAATGCTCAGAATGTTTATGAATATTTAAAGTCCAATGCAGTCAGGTGTAAACACACATAATGAAAGATTTCATTTTCAAATATGTCGGTATCTTGCGCAGATACTACAAATATAAAATCATCGGCGTATGCAGTATAATGACTGTCCGTTAGAATACTTTCTGTACTATTAATATATGGAATGAATAGAACGGGACCTAATACGGACCCCTGTGGTACTCCCATGTTCAACGGTTCAGAATCAACTTTACACATTATATTTTTTTCATTTACTTGTAAGGAAAAAAATCATTTCCAATTGACAAGAAGGGAAGACAACCAACTGAGAGTACTGAGAAATACTCCTGTTATTCCACACATTTCTAATATTCTCCTTGAGAAGCTTCTTATCGAAACCCGTGAAATTATCGTTTCGGTTAGTGATGGAACAGTGTAGTGTAGCTTATGATGTCATGTTATGAAACATTCATCATATTGAATGCAATGTTTGGATATGCTTATGAATCAAGTAATTCAATCAGATTAAGAATGAACCGGAACTAAACTTCATGATTGATAACGTTATTCGTCATCAAAATATCAAATCCAAGAGGTAATTTTTGCTGCTTTCCTCCTTTTATGAAGGAGATGAATTTATTATTTCATTGATGACGAATAGCTACCATGGGCGTCCACTGAGAGAGGTAGGTGGACCAAAAATTGTAACTCCATAGTCGTCTAGTACCCTAACTGAGCACTTACAACTAAGTTTCTTTGATCAAATTGTTTTGGTCTGAGGAATATGTCGTGGTAAGTATTTGTGGGAACCTTTCAAGAATACCCAGTATATTGTTGTATGCCCATTTCTATTACATCGAATTAGTCAAAATGTGCACTTTATCTTACCCTAGTGAGAATCTGATTTCCAATCTGAAGGAATTTGACCTTGAAAGAAAGAATACTTCTTGTGATCTGACTAAAGCATTCGACTGCGTTAATCACGAAATTATGCTGCAAAGATGATAAAGGTATGGTTTTAGAGACATTGTTATTCAGTGGTTTGAGTCGTATTTATCCGGACGAACTCAAAAAGGGTATCTATCCAGAATAGAGTATCAGATCAATGAGATGTTAAATGGGGTGTACGACAAGGTTCTGTACTTGGTCCAATTCTCTTTTTGTTATTCATTAATGATTTAGCCATGTTTGATATTATTGGAAAATTCACACAATTTGCAGAAGACACTACACTACTTTGGCACAATCGAAATAGTTCTGCAATGCAACAAATTATAATGAATAATATAACAAAGGTGAAAGAATGGTGTGACTCCAATATGTTCTCGTTCAATATCTCAAAGACTAACATCCTAACTTTCAATTTTGATCTACGGGATGATATTCATATTGGTGATGAAGTAATGAATAAGAAGACAGCAACTAAGTTTTTAGGATTATATATTGAAGATGAACTGGAGTATGCACAACATATTGAAACATTTAGAAAAAAAGTTAGCCACCGGTTGTTTTGCAGTAAGAACCACTTCTTGGGAACTTGGTAGAGATATGACCAAGAAGGTGTACTTTGCCCTCATCGATTCTCATCTTAGATATGGAATAAGTTTTTGGGAATCGTGCAGTCAATTTTCATTCCACATGATTTTTATTCGTCAAAAAAGATCAGTGAGATACATGTGTAAGGCAAAAGTCCGAGATTCATGTAAGCCGTCATTCATTGACAATAGGATCTTGTAATCTGATTTCGGAAACTGTGTCTTATTCAAAGTAAATGTAAATATAATAATGAAAGAATTTCACAATATAACACAAGACAAACACTGAATATAACAGTTCCATTACCGTCTTCTACATTCATAAAAAAACAATTTCATTTTTAATGGAAAAAAAAAACTATATAATCATTTACCAAACGGGAAGGCATATGTGGCAAAATATTTCAGGAAAACCATTAGGAATTTTCTAATAAATAGAGCCAACTACTCTATAGAATAATTTCATTAAGACAAATTTCAACATATTTTACTTCATTTGTTCATTTTTTGATAGTCTGGAAGTTGCTACTGGCCCTCCTTATATCTCAACTGTTATGTTTATAGTTTACGTATACATATGTATATGTGTACTATTGTGACAATCGCAAATCTGTTTTTTGCAAATGTGTTTTTGTTTTATTTTATGAGTGAATTAATGTTGTCATATTATGTTTGTCGATTTTACCCGTGATTTTACCCTTTACTTTTACTTATGTTTTATTCTTCATAATGACTTCGTCAATGCGAATTATTGTCTTCAGACAATAAAGTGATTGATTGATTGATTTGATACTTTGCCCCCCAAAAAAATTCTACAGACGCTCATGTTAGGTATTATAAAGCATGCAAATATTATTTTGGGAATATCTGTACTGAATGTACTGCTGTACATGTTTTACCCATTGGAATATGAAAATGATGTTCGAAATTCCTATGCATATATTATAGGTAGGTGCTTATATGACTAAGTCGAAGACCATTATTATTCCAATCAAATTCCAAATAAAAGAAGAAACATTTTGATTATCCATCACCAGCATACAAAGTAGCAAGCAGCAGATATACCAGCAAAATGAACAGACTGCTTCATAATAACAATGCCAATATGCATGCACTCTGGTAGATGCGCTTTCAAGAAGATGTGTTTTGTCTCAGGATGTCATTCTTAGCACATTGAAATAATATTTCAAGAAATAGTTCAGTCATTGGGGATCCAAAATAAGGCTTAACTGGAAAAAAGTCCGGAAGTTTTGAAACTTTGTAGGATTATAGTTTTGGGTGTCCAGAACTAAAATTCACAAAATGCACATTCCGGGACATGCCGCCGGCGCCGCCATCTTGCCAAGATGGCGCTCAAAAACGGTTTTTTGGAAATATCTCCAAAACGGTGCGTTTTTAGAAAAAATATGAGGATATAAAAAATTAAGATGAAGAAATTTTCTACAAGAAATGTCCAGAGCATATTTCTGCTAAAGAGAGCCGTTTAGGCTCAAGAGCTGATTGAATGACAACATATTCTGTTAATTTCTATAAACTGCCCCTAACTATCTCCATATATGCGTATAAATTCATATTTTATAATAAAACGGGCTATTCAATTTGTTCCTCGTTATATTGGACGATTTTTAGATCAATTATGCGACAAAAATTTTGCATTTGTGACTTGCGATTATTTGGGCGATATAAAAATTGCATTATCGACGAATCTGGCGACTTTGCTCCAGAAGTATGTGGGTGCAGGATGGTTTTGAGTAAATTTCGTACCTATACTATGTATCCGTAGATATAGGTACCTTCTCGTACTGTAAAACCGCCCATAAATTCATAGAAATTTGAAATTTTGCTTTCTTGTCTTTACCACTCCATCCCAATATGAGTAAATACACAAAATATATATTTCAGATTTCAGATGAGATATTTTTATAAACGGTAGAAACACAAGAACTTTTTCATCAACTAAATTACCTTTCCTAACGAACACAATTTACCAATCAGTAATTTTACGAGAAAAACGGACATGAAAAAATTGCGAGACCGTATTTTACCAAGGAAAAATGAAGTTTCTAACAACATTAGAAAAACATAAAGAGTTACAAGATCATATTAAAGTTTTTAAAAATGAACATGCCACCCCTGATCAAGTTGCCTTTGCCGGTGAGAAATTTTTCCTTGCACTCTATGGATTCAAAGACACAAATTACACCAATCTTGATAAATATCGATACCAGTGTTTCGTGAAGTCGGTATAACAAAAAGTAAATTCAATTTGGCATCCATACCACCGACAAGCGCAGCTGCACGACAGCATTCGTTGAGAACGTACTATCAGGTTCAACTATGGCGTGGTTGTCCGAAAGAAGTTGAATAATGGGGTTGGAAGAAAACACAAACTGGCCTCACTCCAATAACTACTTTGAAAGATCCTGCTTCCAAAGCACTACTTGCTTTTTTATCTTGTAAGTGCAAGGCGGCTTGTGGTAGAGCCTGCGGATGCAGGAAAGCAGGATTGCGATGTTCGATGATTTGCGGTGTCTGCAACGGGAAAACTTGTCAAAATATCAGCCAAGTGACACTGGACGAATCCGATGAAAAAGACCTCATCCATTCGCTGCATGATGATTCTTTATCGACTGCAGAAGAAGAATCCGACGAGTTGAAGGTAATTAACATCGATTCTGGAGCTGAGGTAACCAGTTTGTCCGTTGAATATATCGAAATCAACGAGCCAGGTCCGTCTGGCCTTTGCCAAAAATAATTTCAGTACCTGAGTGGATTAGGACTACAGGGGAAACCACGTTAAAAAAAAACGCGCCGTGTACTTAGCCTCTTGGGTGGTGTGGAAACAAGTACAGCATTTGAAATCGAAA